TGATCCCCTGCAGCCTCTTTGTAGCCACATCCTGCAACACGGGCTACATGACATTTCTCCAGGCAGGTTTCCAGGTCGTGACAATAGAGGAAAATGCATCTCTTATTGGAAGCTGTCTGTGCAATGTGCATCCATAGCCTCACTTGGAAGATGCCTGTGCAATGTGCATCCCTATTCTCCATTGGAAGCTGCCTGTGTAATGTGCATCCCTAGCCTCCATTGGACGATGCCTGCACAATGTGTGGCCCTAGCCTCTATAGGAAGCTGCCTGTGCAATGTGCATCTATAGCCTCCATTGATAGCTGCCTGTGCAATGTGCATCCCTATTCTCCATTGGAATCTGCCTGTGCAATGTGCTCCTCTATCCTCCATTGCAAGATGCCTGTGTAATGTGCATCCCTAGCCTCCATTGGAAGCTACCTATGCAATGCACTCCCCTAGCCTCCATTGGAAGCTGAATGTGCAATGTGCATCCATAGCCTCCAATGGTAGTTGCCTGTGCAATGTGCATCCCTAGCCTCCATTGGAAGGTGCCTCTGCAATGCGCATCTATGGCCTCCATTGGAGGACAATTGTAAGACAAAGACTGAGCATTGTCACCTTATAACAGGACATGCTTGAACAAGGACCTTCATGGCAGGAGCACCAGATATTATTTTAATGAAAGTTTCAGATTTAAAAATATTGAAAACTACTTTTGAAATGTCTTTAACCCATTAAAGCTTATATGAGATTTTATCTGATGGGTTTACATCTACTGTAATCTACAATATCTCCATATCTCTTCCATACAGACAGAAATCTTTCATGATCGATGGCATACTCCCAACCCTATGATAAATCTCACCATGAATAAGTCAAAGTGCACCAGGCTGTGCGAATATTAGCCTGGGACAAGCAGTCGCTATAAATAAGCAGTAGTAAAAGCCGGTAGTACATGGGGAATATATAGCCACGGTTGTCTTTGTTCATTCATATAGCGGAATGCAAAGCATGTTCTGTCTCCCCCGGGCACCTGTATCCCGCTCCTACACAACCCATCCTACGCCCCGGAGAGAGCACTAAAATGGAAATGCTGCTCTAGCACTTCCCTCCCAACAGCATCTGTTAATTCACTCCATTTATAAAATACATATTGACAAAGACAACTGAAGTGGGACAAAGGAGATTTGATTTGGTGTGAGAAAGTCAATTCAATGTTATTTTGTTAAAGGACGCCTTGCTTGTCAAATACGTGTTTAAGAAATGAAGTGGGGGAGATGCGTCTGGTAAACTCCCATGATCCGAATAAGCCGACAAGCCAAGATTTTCTTTTTTATTAAATATTGCCTTGTGCTTATTTATTAAGACGTCCGTGAAGATTTCAATGCCATTTCTTTTCATTTTAAGGGAAAAGTGTCGTCTTTTTTTATTTTTGTTTTTCCTTCTTTTTTGTTTAGCTATAGCCTTATGCAAAAGTTTGTGCATGTTCTTATTTTTGGTAACCTGTCATGGTAATAGGGATGTGAACCCACAGGCGTGCAGGTGGCATGGTATCCACCAGGGCGTGGACTCTAAGGGCCAGCCAGTGTTCTGCCAGGGAGCCCCTCACGGAAGTTTGAACTTAGCTGCATGCTGACCCCAGGTCATGACCCCCAGGTTCACCCTTCTCGTTTGCAGTACCCGGATGGATGGAGCAAAAGAAGATCCGGAAAACAAGCAAAAGGTCAGGGCAGGCAGCAGACAATTGTAATCAGGAGAACCAGCTGAGTCAGTACACAAGAGATCAGTCCACGGGAAGTTAGGTCATGAATAAATGCAAAGAAGGGGTTCTGGAACAAGTGTTGCTCAAGCAACCAGAAGCTGGTCTGAGAGGGATTTAAATAGGGAGACAGGCAGGAGGCAGGACAGGAAGTAGCAGGAAGGAAGGTATATAAACCCTCAATTTATGCATTGTGGGAACCGGCAGTAAAATACAGTGAAAAAGAAAATACACCCTCTTTGAATTCTATGGTTTTAGGTATCAAGACATAATAACAATGATCTGGTCCTCAGCAGGTCTTAAAATTAGGTAAGTACAACCTCAGATGAACAACAACACCAGATATATTATTAAACATAAAGCCAAAATGGAGAAGCCATGTGTGAAAAACTAAGTATACCCTTACTGCTTCCATAGGAATTAAGAGGCTAATTAGCAGCCAGGTGTCAGATGTCACCTGACACCTGGCTGTCCTTGACTAATTGATCATCAGCAAGTGTGACCACCTCTATAAAAGCCGAAGTTTCAGCAATTTGCTGGTCTGGAGTATTCAGGTGTGTGTTAACACAAAGCCAAGGAGGCAAGACATCAGTAATGACCTTAGAGAAGCAATTGGTGCCAGGGCTGCCGTCAGGGGGGTGCGGCCGATAGTCAAGTAAGGGGCCCGGGCCTGCATGAGGGGCCCGGGAACCTTACATAAGTATTGGCCGACCGTACAGGTGACTGGACAGGAGGTGGAGGCGGCCGGACCCCGCAGCACCGGAGGAAGCTCCTCCAGTGTCCCCCTGCAACTGTCCCCGGTGTCCACCTGTGACTGACTGCACATTAGGTTTTCAAAGATGGCTGCCGCGAGTAGCGGCGGCCATCTTTAAACCTGGCAAGTGCCCACATTTCATTTAATATATTGCCGAAAAGGCAATATATTAAATGAAAATCATTCCCTGGTGGTCCAGTGGAGAATCAGTATGAACTGCATCTCTTGCTGATGCAGATCATACTGATCGCTCCCTCGTGGTGCTGCCACTGACAGGCGGGGTTCGATTAGTATGTCTGCATCAGCCTGAGATGCAGATCACACTGATTCTCCACTGGACATCAGGAGAATCCCCAAGTGCCACACTGGACCCCAGGAAAAGCCCCCCTTCCTGCAAAACAGGTAAGCAGGGGAGGGAGACATTTTTAAATGAACTATTGTTATTAGTTGTGTGTGTGTTTTTATTGTGTTTTTTTAATATTTTGTGTGTGTGGTTTTTTTTAACCTCCCTGGCGGTATGATTACTATTTTTTTTTCCTTTTTTGTTCTGTTTTTTTTTTCCTTTTAAACTTCCCGCCGGTTCTGTCCCCCTGCGACACGGGCGCTCACAAGGGACGGAACCTGAAGACGGATGTCGGCATCAGCCAGAGGACACATCGGGGATCGCGGACAAGGTAAGAAACGCTATGCTGTATTCCCGAGTGTGGCTCGGGGTTACCGCATGAAGCAGATCTCTGCTTCATCAGCTTCTTTGGTGGTCCCTAGGGGACATTAGGGGTCTTGGAGACCCCTGATGTCTCCATAAAGAGGACCTGTCACATCTCTTTGCTATCATATAGGGGGGTTTCTTAGCCAAAAAAAAATTAAATAAATTAAAGTTTCCAAAAAAAAAATTAAAGTTACACATTACGCTGCACATGTTACATATCGCCACAAATGTCACAGTGAGAGCAATAATTTTAGGGCCATTAATCACTGATAACACTAAACTGATGAGCGGTAAAAGCTTTTAGAGCGTCGCCTATGGTCAATTTTGGGTATGGTAGTTTTTTTGCGATTTCGCGGGTGCGCACAATTTTTAAGCTTGACATGTTTGGTGTCTATTTACCTGACATGACCCCGTATTTTATATTTTACCAAAAAATTGGGTAATAATAATAGTTTCCTAACATAATGGGAAACATTTTCAGTAATTTTTCCTTAATATAGTAAAACATAAAAACCCCCAGTGGTGATTAAATACCACCAAAAGAAAGTTCTATCTGTCCCCAAAAAATGGTATAAAATTAATTTCAGTACAGCGTTGCATGACAGCATAAATGTCAGTCAAACTACTGCAGTGCTGAATACTGAAAAATTGGCTGGCCAGGAAAGGGGTGTAAACACCTGGTCAGCAAGCGGTTAAAAACACCCAATGTGTGTTTACAATAGAGGAATGACAATGTGCCAACATTCTGGTGCACTAGAAATTAATATAAAAGAAACAAAGATTTAGTGCCTTTGTTGTGAATTTTGCAGATTCATTTATCTACAATGCCTATAGTTACAGAGATGAATGAGGGCTTGTTTTAAAGTGTTTCATTGCTTGTTTAAAATATGTACATGATTTACATATATGTACATGTACATGAACTATGTACATGATTTAGTGTGCACAGTCTGGGTGCAGGTTCACTTTACAGCAGGGCGAATGGCCCTGCAAATTGTTTATAAATAGACCCCTTTAGGGTTTCTTTCACAGAAAGAAGTGCAGAGGCAGCTTTTACTTAACCAAAAGATCAGATACCTAAGGCTACAGGAAAAGTCTAACACTTTAGTTTCCACTCTTGTTTCCCTGTTACTTTATATTTGTAAGATCGTGATTCCTGTTTTTGGTCACAGCACGCCAGGCTTATATTGTGACCTTACTTAATGTCCTAATTAGGGATGCACCGATACCGGTTCAGAAACCAGTTCAGATACCAGTGCCGATACTCGGCATTTTCATGAGAACTACCAGGGTTGCAGCGGTTGCAGCTGGGACCTGGTTCTGGCTCTCCACCATGGTCCTGAAATCCTTAGTCTGTATTGTTTTAGAAAAACTGTCACATGACACTAAACAAAAATGTATCAGTACTTGTATCTGTGAGTACTTGGGTAAGTATCAGTACTTGGATTGGAAAATGGTATAGGTGCATCCCTTTATTTATATCTATAAAAACAAAATCATACATTATAACAGAGATGTACAAATCCCAGGAGCTCCGTGTGCACCTTACAAATGACAGCTGCCTCCTAACTTTTGATTTTTTCTCCAGTCTAGTCTTGGAGCCCGAAAAGTATCTGTACTTGTACTGAGTACAGTACTTGGTATTGGTGCATGCCTAGTCATGATCATGTTTTTGTTATATGAGGTCACAGGTCTTCATTAAAGGCGCTCAGAATGAGCCTGATGGATAAAGGATTAGTGTTACTTATGCTGTATGGCATCTTCTACATATGATACTATGCAATTGCTCTACAAACCTCTGGATTGCCTGTAGATTGCTCCTGACTTCTCATCACCACAGCAGATGGAGTTTTGGGGCACAGTTTTGCCACCACAGCACTGCTGGTTGTAACCATCATAGAGAACCTCTCCACAGCACATCTGGTATCCAGATAAATATGGATATTCACCACAGCAAGAATCTCCTTCACCCATAGACACTTCATTGTGAATTCCATCATAGCAGCAGACCTCACCTGTTAAAAATACAAAGTACATAATTTTATATAGAAACATGCATTTTGGTCATCAACTGATTGAATGGATACAACTGACCTGATTCTGAACATACATGATACATGATACATATTCCTGAGGTTCGTTACCCCATGTCAATGTCTATTTTAGAGAAAGAAAACATTTTATATTTATTATATAAAAATAAGTCTTGTTTAGATGTCACCATAGGGTTCGGGGAGGACAAAACCACATGACTAATTACTACCTCTCCCACATGGTAGAACTGTGGCATATCCCCCCCTAGTATTCTATAATGCAACTCATTGGCCAGTAGATGGGCAACTGCATTGCATCATGAGATTCTGGGGGCAAGGCTTAAGTAAAGGGCCGCTAAGCTTCTAAGTTTGCAAACCGTGTGGCTATGCCAAAGAATATTTGATCTCTTCTATTATTGTACCTAGCCATCTTGTGGTGTTATGTCTTAGAGATTAGAAATAGTATAATGTGGTTTTAAGGTTCCCTTAAAGTTCAAAACATTAGCTGCTTATGTGCTGAGAGCTGTTCAGCAGTACTACATTTCTGTGTTCTTGTGTACTGATGGCCGTGGTGTAATCTTCACCACTTGCTTCCCGCTACCTATTCCAGGTCTGTGCTGGGCACACCTGCTCTCATTAGTGAACTTTAATCAAGAACAGAGCTTTACATCTGCATCTGATCAACGTGTTTTTGTCATGCCACATGAGACGTCTGTCTCTCTCTGACTTCTGTCTGACTGTTCATGCCTTAGATTATTCCTATATATTGTTTGGACTGTGTTTGCACCCAGCTTGTGCTTATCCTGATCATTGACCTTTTACATTTGCTATTGTCAGTTATTGTTCCATTTACCTGTCTGGAACCTGCACTCTGTTTGTTTGCACCTGATCTGGCCATCAGCCTGCTGACTCTGCTCCTGTCTGTCGTTTGCTCTGACCATCTGGTTTACGCTGCTCTAACATCTGTCCTGCCTGTTGTCGCCTGTTGCCCCAGGCAACACAGAGGGTTTACCGAACTCTGTGACACATGGCAGACCTGGTTTGATACATCAATTATCCTTTGGCATATTGTCCATGCCTCGGCATACACCAACCTGGCCCATTACCATCCATTCTGATCCTGCCATGACCTTGATCTGCTCTTTGACATCAACTGATTGTTATTATTCTCCCATTCCATCAACATCCTCAAACGTCATGAATTCTAACAGGTGCAGGAGGTATGTCTCCATCCCCACCAGCCATCCAGCAGATAGGGAACAACACCCCCAAATGTGTAGTAAATAAGCATTAATGCTGAATAAATATTGTATAAATACAAGAGGCATTTCTATTATAACTTGAATCTTGATGTCCATTGTGTAATTCTGCCAGACCATGAATCCATCATTAAACAACTTGTGTACTTTGCCTCTGTGAAAAAAATCTTCCTTTCCTGAAGACCAGTCACTGCTGGTCTCTCTCCTTTTGCAGGGTGACTGGTCTTTTGTCCGCCCCCTCTGTATTTTCTGCAGGCAGCCTGCAGTGGGTGGACTTGCTGGGCCCCTCCCACAGCTCTCCTCTCTGCACAGGCTATTTACAGCACAGTGATGATGTCACCCTATAATGAGGCAGCCTGAAGCTGTTGTCTCAGGCAGCATCTCTTTGGGTCACATAGGGGGGGGGGGGGGGGGGGG